CCTAGACGGACAACCCGGCTGAGACTCACCTCCCCAAACCACCGGGTCACCAACTGTGCCGCAAACTTTCCCGTATCGGCCATTGTCACCAAAGTCAAAGGGATACCCAGGAGGGCATAAGCCACAAGGCACATCCGACCATATGCAGATACTGGGAACACGTAACCGTAACCTGAAATTCGAATCCACAGTAAACAAGAAGAGTTTGGGTCCCACCACGAAAGCCCAAAATCTACTGTATCTCGGTTAGTTTTGGCATGAGATTGATCAAAATGAGACGATTGGAATCAAGGAGTTAAGACGGTTCAAATGAGTATAAGCATGACTAGGTTTGAGTAATTTTTGGGAAATTTGGTTTTTGGGTCCCACCACGAAAGTCTAAAATCTACTGTAACTCGGTTAGTCTTGGTCAGAGCTCGATGAAAATTATACGGTTAGAACCAGCATGTCAAACCGGTTCGAATGAGTATAATCACGACTAGGTTTCGAAAAAAAAATTGTTAAGGTCTTGACACGAAGATGGGAGCCTAGTCGGGGAGCCTAGTCATGATTATACTCATTTGAACCGGCTTGACTAGCTGATTCCAACCGTCTAATTTTCATCAACCCCAGATCGAAACTAACCAAGTTACGGTTGATTTTAGGTTTTCGGGGTGGGACCCATAACTGGATTTTTCAAAGTTTTTTTCAAAACCCAGTCATGATTCTACCCGTTCGAATCGGCTCGACTTCCTGATTCCAGCTGTATAATTTTCATCGATCTCGGATTAAAACTAACCGAGTTACGGTAGATTTTAGGTTTTCGTGGCGGGACCCAAAACTGGATTTTTCGAATTTTTTTCTTAGAACCTAGTCATGATTATACTCATTCAAACTGGCTTGTCTTCTTGATTCCAACCGTACAATTTTCATGAGCCTAGGAGCAAAACTGACCGAGATACGGTTTCGTGGTGGGACCCAAAGCTGGATTTTTCAAGTTTCTTCAGAACCTATTCATGATTATACTTATTCGAACCGGCTTGACTAGCTGATTCCAATTGTATAATTTCCATCGAGCTCCTATCAAAACTGACCGAGTTACGGTTGATTTTAGGTTCTCGTGGCGAGACCCAACATTTTTTTCAACTTTTTTTCAAAACCTAATCATGATTATACTCAATCGAACCGGCTCTACTAGCTAATTCTATTTGTCTAATTTTCATCGAGCTCCGACCAAAACTAGCCGGGTTACGGCAGGTTTTAGGTTTTCGTGACGGGACCCAAAAAACAACTTTTGTTCAAAACCTAGTCATGATTATACTCATTCAAACCGGTTTGACTAGCTGGCTCGGACCGTCTAATTTTGATCAACCTCAGATCGAAACTAACCAAGTTACAGTAGATTTTAGGTTTTCGTGGTGGGACCCTAAACTTATTTTTTCAAATTTTCTTTGAGAACCCAGGCATGACTAAACTCGTTCGAATCGGCTTGACTAGCTGATTCCAACTGTCTAATTTTCATCTAGCTCCGATCAAAACTGTCCGGGTTACGGTAGGACCCAATCCTTACCCACTGGAATAACCGTAGTGGTCGTAAAAACCAGTGCCGACGAGAACGTCCACATGTCCTTTGCCACAGCGTTATCCGTAAAAAAGTGCTCAAAAGTGTGTGCCTTATGAGCGTCCTCCAGTAGGTACATGAGCTTTTTCGTGTAGATTTCCATGCTTCTCTCCGGATTTGATAGGGTCAGGTTCCCAATGAATTGGTCCTTGAGCTCTTGGAATTCTAGGAGAGCCCGCCCCCGACGTTTCAGCTCTTCGGGTCGTTCAATGGATAGGAACAGGTAGGCTCCGCCCACTGCATAGGTGACACAGCTGAGGACGAGGCCGGTGTGAAGGGCAAGGGGACCGAGGTGCTGGAAAAAATTAGTTTAGAGGGGTAGGGATTGCCTTAAAGGCACAGGGTGGGTCCCGGCGTCTTGCGCCTAGAACTGAAGCGAGTTCGTGTCGAGACCCAAAAATCAAAAACTTTCAGAACCTAGTCATGATTATACTCATTCGAACCGGCTTGATTTACTGATTCCAACTATATAATTTCCGTGAAGATTGGACAAAAACTGACCGAGATACGGAAGCTTTTGTATTTTCGTGGCGGGACCCAAAAAATGAAATTTCTCAGAACCTAGTCATGATTATACTGGTCTAAAACGGCTAGATTTGCTGATTCCAAAAATATAATTTTCATGAAAATTGGACGAAAACTGACCGAGATATGGAAGCTTTTGTATTTTCGTGGTGGGACCCAAAAAAAAATGTTAACCCAAACCTGCTCATGATTATACTCATCTGAACCAACTTGATTTGCTGATTCCAAATATCTAATTTCCGTGAAGAATGGACAAAAACTGACCGAGATACAAAAGCTTTTGTATTTTCGTGGTAGGACCCAAAACTCGAATTTTTCGAAACCTAGTCATGATTATACTCATTCGAATCGTCTTGGCTTGCTGATTCTGATCGCATAAATTCCGTGAAGATTGGACCAAAACTAACCGAGTTACGGTAGATTTTGTGTTTTCGTGTCGAGACCCAAAATCAAAAATTTTTCAGAACCTAGGCATGATTATACTCATTCGAACCGTCTTGCCTTGCTGATTCCAAATATATAATTTCCGGGAAGATTGGACCAAAATTAACAGAGTTAGGTAGATTTCGTTTTTTCGTGGTAGGACCCAAAAAAAAAATTTTTTTTTTGAAAATTTTTGAAAGGGACCCACCCTGCGCCTTTAAGGTACACCCCCAAAAAAAACTCACATATTTCTCGACCAAACTCCTCTCCGTCGCCGTTTTCTTATCCTTACTCGTGGCGGATAACATCTGAATTCTCGCATTTTCCTCCATTGAAACAGTCATTTTCGGAGTAGGATGACAACAAAAAAGAATGGGGGAAAAAAGGATGAGGGCACCCCCAAGGGTAGTTTTATTAAAATATTCAAAAGATCTCATAAAATTTGTGGAGAGCGCAGACATAAAATACTAATTGGATGGTGGATGATGCCCCTTTGAAGGGGGAAGAAATGAAGGGAGAAAAGACCAATTTCTTTTGAATTTTTGATAATCCAGATGGGTCGTTAATTTGGCTAGGTTCTTTCTCTCATTGTTGCGATATATAGAATTTTTGGTCGGTTTTTAGGACAAACATTTTTTTTCGAATAAAATTCAGGTTTTGTTTGGTTAAGATCAATTCCTGAGTCTTAAATTGCCTCCCAGAGTCTTCTTTGACACCAAAAACCATCTATAGAAAAAGATAAAAAGATTTGACCCCAGTGGGGGTCGAACCCGTGATGAAAATTTCTAAAACGGCAGCGCTAACCGCTAGGCCACAGGGTGCATCGTCGCTATTGGAGGAGAGGGCATACACGTGGCGGCGCCGAAAAAAAGAAGGGGGGGGGAGGATACCTGTTGGTCAGGTGGGTCCCTCCACGCTCCAGGTAACTTCTTACTGTAATAGTTTTTGATTTTCAAGAAAATCAAATCGGAGCCAAGCTTAGTTGGTCTCGCCACGAAAATAGGTTTTACTGTAGGGTTTAATTTTTTCCAAACAAGAAATTCAAATTTTCTTGAGCCAAAATCATGTTTTTCCGATCACCCGAAATACATCATTCTTAAGAAAACCAGAAATCGCTACAGTAGGCACTTCCCGGATGAGATGATACCTCGGCCAAAAACTGCATGCGCCTTTAAAAAAACGGAAACGGTTTCGTGTCGGGACCCAAAAATCAAAAATTATCAGAACCTGGTCATGATTATACTCATTCAAACCGCCTTGGCTTGCTGATTCCAACCGTCTAAGTATCATAAATCTAGGACCGATACAAACCAAGTTACAGTAGTTTTTGAGTTTTCGTGCCGAGACCCAAAAACCAAAAACTTTCCAGAATTTGGTCATGATTATACTCATTCGAACCGGCTTGACTTGCTGATTCTAACTGTACAAATTTCATGAGTCTAGGGTCAAAAATAGCCAAGTTACGGTAGTTTCGCGGTTTTCGTGGCGGGACCCAAAAACCAAAATTTTTCAAAACCTAGTCATGATTATACTCATTCAAACCGGCTTGACTAGCTGATTCCAACCGTCTAAGTTACATTTGTCCAGGACCAAAACTAACCGAGTTACGGTAGTTTGGATATTTGGGAAAAAGGTCTCACCACGATCGACCATACTACTGTACTTTCAGAACAATTCGACAGAAAAAATTCTTGGGCTGCGCCTTTAAGCTATTGCTCAGAACAAGAAAAAAAACCATCAGTCACCCAAAAAAAAGGGAGAAATATAATATCCATTTCTTCTCCCCCAAAACTTTCATTGTCTCAAAATTGTCTTCTCTCTGCGTCTCCACCATCTTCCACACTATTTTTCCATTCATCATCAGAAATGCAACATGCCCCACCTCCCCCTTGTTTCCGTCATTCAACTCTATTATTTTTCGGTATTTATATTTCATCTTCCTTTTCGGGGTCCGCCCCCTTTTTGAGAGTGGTATAGTTGAGGAGAGCAGGAAAATTGGGAAAGGTTTATGGCTCAAAAAAGAGAGATAAAGAGATCACAAATAAGGGTAGATACTCAAGTGCTATCGGGGGTGATCAAGTGCTATTTCCTCAATTTTTGGCTCTGTAGCACTGGAGAAAAAAGTCATAGCAAATAATACAAAAGTCATAGCACATAAGAGCCGAGAATAGCTATTGATCTATAACACAAGAAACAAAAGCGATAGCAAATGAGTAGATACTCAACTGCTATGGGGATGATTAACTGCTATTTCTGGCTCTTCTGTTATGGATCGGCTGCTATTTTGCCATTTTTTGGCTCGGTAGCACATGAGACAAAAGTCAGAGCAAATGAGAAAAAAGT